GTCCCCACGCTGGTCACCGTCAGCCGCCCGCTCTTCCTCGCCCTCTCCACCTGCAGCTCGGTGGGCATCGTCGCCGCCTTTGCCCTGCTCCTCTTCAACTACCGCTGCCGGGCCAATCGGTACATTCAAATGTCGCACCCCAGCTCTAACAATCTGATGCTCCTCGGCGCCGTCCTCTGCTTCATCTCCGTCATGCTCTTCGGCCTTGACGGGCAGGACGTCGGCACCGAGTACTTTGAGGTCATCTGCAATGTAAGTGGGGGGTTGATATAAAAGGCTGAAAAAGGATGATCTTACCTCTTTTACTTCCTCACCTCCATCAGTCGCGAGCCTTCTTCATCTCGGTGGGCTTTTCGCTCTTCTTCGGCGCCATGTTCGCCAAGACCTGGATCTGCCATGTGCTGCACACGCAGAACAAGCGAAAGATCAACAACAACCAGATATACCTGATCATCTTCATCTTCGCGGCGCTGGACGTCATCATCCTCGTCATCTGGTACCTGAAGGATCCGATGCGGCGGGTCATTGAAGTGCTGCCCGTCCCCATCGCCTCTGCTTCGGAGAGCGGTGATCAGTCCATCTCCTCCTCCTCGACGACTACCACGACCACGACGGCCGCCTCGACGAGCACCTCCGACGATGACGTCTTCCTCGAGGACGTGCGCTTTCAGCCGCAGCTGGAGCGCTGCGAGTCCTCCGCCAGCATGGTCTGGTACGGCATCTTCTTCTGCTACAAGGGACTGGTCCTTCTCTTCGGGCTCTTCCTCTCCTACGAGACGAGAAGCGTCAAGATGAAGCAGCTCAATGACTCCCGTCTGGTCGGCATGAGCATCTACAATGTCGTGGTAAGTGTCGATGGAAGAGGGAAAGTTTCGAAAAAGGTTGACTTACCTTTGATTTGTTTTTCCCCCAGATCCTCTGTCTGATCACGGGCCCCGTGTCGCTGGTGATCAACAATCAGGTGAACTCGCACTTTGCCTTCATCGCCCTGACCATCATCTTCTGCTGCTTCCTGTCGATGGCGCTAATCTTTATTCCGAAGATCATCGAAGTGGTTCGCCATCAGCAGAATCTAGGTACTTTCTTTTGCATTCATCTTGCGCTTGTATAAACTCAACACTTTTTTTCAGGCGCCGGACTGAACGGCACTTTCCACGAGACGATGTCCTGCAAGGAGGAGGAGGAGCGCTTCACTCGCCTCACCACGGAGAATGAGGAGCTGAAGATGAAGATCGCGGAGAAGGAGCGCCAGATTGACGAGGTCAAGAAAAAGATTGACGTCATGTCCAAGGAGCAGCTGGAGCGGCGACGGGCAGAGGAGCGGGAGGCGAAGATGGCCGCCGCCGCTGCGGCCGCAGCAGCAGCTGCAGCTGGGTCAGGGGCGACGACGACTTCGAACACGATCACCACCACGGCACCGGCCACGACGAAGACGATCCTCAAGAAGGCGGTTCGAATTCAGGAGCCGGTCGAGGAGAAGGTGATTATCCATCCGGTGAGCGACCTGCCTGACTCGATCAGCGACTCGGGCTTCGCTTCGAGAGGCGTCTCCTCCACCAATAGCCGACCTTCCGCCGAGTGCGAGTTCAGTGAGTCGTATCTGTAGGTTCGAAATGTTGTTCTCTTTCTTGTTTTCATATTCCACTTCAAGTGTAACGCTTGCTGTGTTTTCAATGCACACAGAGGAGGGAAGAGGTATCATTTCTTTTCCCGCTATCTCATAACTGCCGATGTGTTCAGATAATGATTGATCAGAATTATGATGATAATAAATCTTGCACAAACTATCGTTGACCGCTTCTTCAGGTCGCCAAAATATATTCGAGAAATCGTCTTTTTTCGCTGATAGAAAACTCCAACTAAATAAAGTTAGAGAACAATGCTTGACAGTTCNCTTCTTTTCCCGCTATCTCATAACTGCCGATGTGTTCAGATAATGATTGATCATAATTATGATGATGACAATAAATCTTGCACAAACTATCGTTGACCGCTTTCTCAGGTCGCCAAAATATATTCGAGAAATCGTCTTTTTTGGCTGATAGAAAACTCCAACTAAATAAAGTTAGAGAACAATGCTTGACAGTTCTAAAATCTCAAAGTTCCAAAACCTAACTGTTTTCATTTGGCGGGAAACGGTGCAACAAAATCTATCCTCTTTCTTTCTGTTTGCACCTCACCCACGGCGCTGGCGCCAGCGCCGCTACCAGTGAAAATAGACGCGACAGTGTGATTTTTTTTGCAAAAATAGAAAAACAGAACCAGCGCTTGTTTTTCTTCACTGGTGTTCTGTTTTCCGATCATCAGCACCAGCCGCGTGACCTTGAAGGCGAAGAAGACCTCCAGAATCAACTTCAGATCTCCTGAGAGTAGGAAGAGAAGGTTGTCACGAAGAGCTGAAGAGCAAGGCAGTCGGCCGCCTCTGCCCAGTGCCAGGTGGTCGGCTACAGCAGAGAAGGAGAAGAAGGAGGAGGAGGTGATCAGTGTTTACTACCACCACCAAGAGCAGCAGCAGCGGCAGCAAAGACGAAGATAATCACCTCTTGAGTGCGCAGCCACCAGCGGCGTTTTCATTACCATCACCACCATCGTCACCAGCACACATGCACTCTGGTCATCAGCCTGGCTGAGAAGGAGAGATATCCCCATCGACATCGTCGGCATCACATGTAAACACGGTGACAGCGGCAGGCACTTCGCTCTCTCTCTTTCTGTCTCTGTGCTGCACTTGTCTCCTTTGCATCTCTGCCATCATTTCTCTGTTCTCTCCTCTTCTTTGTCGTACAGCTGTACAGAGGGAGAAGACAAACTGGTGCGATTTGCTTTGTTGTTTCTTCTCCACAAAGTGGATCACCCTCAACTAGTTCACCTGTGTTGATGTCTTTTGAAACATTTGCTCATCTATTTGCCGGCGCGTAAGTATGCCATGTGATGTGCCATAGCTCAGTGTTGCATCATGATTGCACTGAAGTGTTTGCGCTGAACCGGAGAATTCAACACTTCACCCCCACTTCTGACTGACTCTTCTTGCCTATCTTCTTTACTTCCTGGACGACAGTCTTGGCGGTTCCATCGGTGCCGTGGTCACATGTCCGCTTGAGGTCATCAAAACGCGTCTGCAGTCCTCGGTCGCCACCTTCGGCCACAAAGTACAGCTGTCCCCGAATCAGCATGCCATCCCCGCGGCGGAGCTGACGCGCATCAAGAGCAACCTCACCATCTGGCGATGCGTCCAACATATCATCCAGTCGGAGGGGCCGAAGGGCCTCTTCAAGGGCCTGGCGCCTAATCTCATCGGCGTCGCTCCCTCTAGGTATAAAGGCTGCTTTCGTTGTTAACCAGAAAATTCTAATTATCTTTTTTCTCTTCACCTTTCAGGGCAGTCTACTTTTGCACGTACTCGCAGGTCAAGTCGGCGTGCAACAGCAAGGTGGCCCACCCCAACACTCCATATGTTCACATGGTCTCGGCGGCGAGCGCCGGCTTCGTCTCCAGCACCTTCACCAATCCCATCTGGTTCGTCAAGACGAGGATGCAACTCGATGAGAGGTTAGTATTTCTTAAATGCTGTCTAGCTCTGTACCTAAACTGTTTTGCTCTTTCTCTCCATCAGCTTCAAAGGCACCAGCGCGTGGAGCTGCATTCGCAGTATTTACCAGACGAGCGGCGTGGCGGGCTTCTACAAGGGCATCACCGCCAGCTACTACGGCATCGTCGAGACGATGATTCACTTTGTCGTGTACGAGTTCTTCAAAGAGAAGCTGGCGGAAATTCAGGATAACGGTGCATCCTCTTCCTCCTTATCTTCATCCACCTCCTCATCCTCCTCATCACCTCCCACCACCACCACTTCCGGCTCAACAAACAACAACAACAAGACACGGCTCAACATTTTCCACTACATGGCAGCGGCGGCCGCCTCGAAATCATTTGCCTCTCTCATTGCCTACCCTCATGGTACGATTGTCGTAGTAGTAGTGGTGGTGTTACGATTATTATTGCCTGATGCTGCTGCTGTCGGCTTCGATGACGACTGCATTGTGCAATAGCCTTCTTCTTCTCTTTATCCATCACCGGTATCGCGCACTCTTTATATTTCACTTATCTTCTCTCTCTCTCTCCCCTCTTCCCTTACCATTACCACAGAGGTTGCCCGAACGCGGCTTCGCGAGGAGGGCCACAAGTATCGAAGCTTCTTTCAGACCATCTTTCTCGTCTACCGCGAGGAGGGCATCCGCAATGGCCTCTATCGCGGCCTGGTCACGCAATTACTACGTAAGCGCAGTGGAGGACTTCTTTGCCTCTTTCAATCACGTGGTATTAACTTTCTTGTTTCCCATTCTCTCAATCCTGCTCAGGCCAAATTCCCAACACGGCCATCATGATGGGCACGTACGAGGTGATGGCCCACGTGCTGACGAACCTGCCCGAGCGCACACCAATGGAGCAGCAAATCTAGTCGACCTTTTCCCTCTCCCTCTCTCCTTAAATTCAGCCACTTCTTTTCCCCTTCTTTATTAATTATTTACTTAGCTCGCGAGCGTAGCAGTCAGCCAGTCAGTCAGTCTCAGTTTCAGTCTAAGTTGTGTGGTTGTGTGTACATAACCGATAATACTTTCTTTCCTTCTTCAAAAGTGAGCGATCTTTTACCAGTGCCTTTACCTCCCTCCTCCTGAACTCTTGTGAATTACAACTACAACTACTGCTATGCTTTTCTTTTTTACCCCCTTCTCCCCAACAAGCCACAACAACATTGACCAGTGTGTTCATCGCCCCCAGTAAAAAAACTTGTCATTAAGGAGAGGGAAGACCTACTCTCTCTTAATTTTCGATNCTTTTTTACCCCCTTCTCCCCAACAAGCCACAACAACATTGACCAGTGTGTTCATCGCCCCCAGTAAAAAAACTTGTCATTAAGGAGAGGGAAGACCTACTCTCTCTTAATTTTCGATTATAAATTTTTTCCCTTATTAGAACTTTTGGTGATGCGATGTTTTTCTATTTACAGGTATTTACATTTAAGTTTCAGTGGACAGCCGTAGTTCTCTACTCTCGGGCAAAGAGCTTTCGGTAGATGCCCAGCGCAAAGAAGAGTGTCACCCCCTGGGAGGTGTTGGCGACGATGAAGAGGTAGGCCATGATGCGAAGGAGCAGGTGGTACTCCATTTCGGCGGGCACCACCGTGCCGAAGAAGGCGATGATCCAGGTGAAGCCGAGCGGGACGCTCAAGCGGAGGAAGATGCTCGTCTGCTTGAAGTCCAGACGATTGCTGGTGGCGGTGGTGGCGCTCCCCTCACAGCTGGAGATGATGGAGATGGAGGAGGACTGGCTGGAGTTAGAGGGAATGCGCGTCACCTTCTTCAGGCTGCTGAAGCTGGCAATGTCCCGGCGGATGTTGCAGACGATGCGCAGGTAGAGGACGGCGTTGACGGCCACCGTCAGCGTCACCGGCACCACGAAGTAGGCAATCGTGGCCGCCCGACGGCGCATCCAGCAGACGTTTGAGGGACGGACTGGGCCGTAGTCGCCTGCTAGGGCCGACCAGAAGGAAGAAAAGGAGGAGGAGGAAGAGAAGAAGTCTCCCAGGTTCGCCAGCAAGACAATGGCCAGCGGGAGGAGGTAGGCGACGGCGCAGTAGAGCAGGCGGACGCGGGCGGTGTTGGGTCGAGTGACGCCGGTCATTGAGCCGCGCACAAAGACGCGGTGCATGTCAAAGG